TTTTACTGTTTATAATACGCCTACGTAGAATAACCTTTGTACTTTTTTAGAGATTGAATATAATAGTAATACTTAAGTTATTAAATAGTCTACTTTCGATAAATTCGAATATATATAATAGGGCACTTCCAAAATAATTTGTAATTTCTATAATTACTATTATATTAAAGAATTTATCCTCTCCTACGATTAACTGGAATATATTCGGATTATTATTTAGGCTAATTAATTGCATCCTTTCTTTAAATAAGGCATTCTTTCGACGGTCGGTATTAATATAATAAATAAAGTAGTAGTATACGCGGAATAGTTAGAGGGTTTAGAAAGTATTGAGCCGTTTGTATTACATTATTAGAATTAAACGTTTTTAGGGTATATTTAACCGTTTTCTTCGTTTTAACCTACTTTTACTTCCTTATTGAATATTTTCCCCCCTATATTTTATAGTACTAATCCTCTTAATTTCTTCCATCGCCTCCTCCCGGCTTTTTAAATAAACTTTAATCTTATTTATTCCTCCTATAATTAAAAAGGCTATATATATAACCGTTATACTTAATTAAAACTATTAAATACCTACTATAAGTATAGTATAACGGGCTATTTCGTATTAATATATTAGAACCGAACTTGCTTTAATTATAGTAAAATTAGTTATTAAACGCGGAATTGCCCTATTCTTGCGGGTACCCTACTATATAGTACGAATATTATATTAATTATAGTTAGAGCGGCGGTTATACCTATTTAAAATAACGTAGGTAGATTATAGCTATATTTAGAAATAACGTTATTAGTAAGGATTTATAGAGATTGGTAGTATATACGAAGGTTAATAAATTCAAGCGTAGAATTCAATTTGATTAGTAGGTACTTATTCCCGTTGGATATAAAAATTAATTTTATACTTTATTATTTTATTAATTTCTCCCTTTAGCCTATTCCTATATACAGTTCAATTATTTATTTTATTAAAATATATAATTCTTATAGTATTAAAAAGATAAAGTAAATTATATTTACTATTATTGAATTTTTAGCTGTAGAAGTTATTTTCGGTTACTTTTAACTTTATAAATAGAATTCTAATATTAATTAGCAATAATAGACGTTTTAGTTTTGTATTAAGGCCGGCGATTTAAAATTAAATATAGTACCGGCGAAGGAAGTGTATAATATTATAGCTATCCTAGTAGGGTTATAGTAGGATTTGATTCTATTATTAGACCTTTGGGAGATAGCGAAGTTAGAAGAGGGTTTTTGCCTTCTTATATATACGAATATCCTTTTTAAAATTTCTCCTTCCTTAGTAATTGAATTCGCAACCTTACTTATTATATTGGAATTGTCTGATCCTTTATAAATCCCTACCCCCCCGTCGAAAATCTTTTAAGTTATATTTAATAATATTTATTTTATCCTAGTACTTTTATTGGAGCTAATACAACCGAAGTCCTTAGAATTGTTAGAGGAATTAGGGAGTAAATTTACTATTTCTAAACTAATAATTCCGCTGGAGTACGAAAAATTCCGGTTAATTTTCGAAGCGTTGGTATTACCCTTACTTTAGTATAATTATTTAAAGTATTATATTAATTTGGTTGATAGAGAATTTATACTTTAGGGATCGATTTATATATTAAATATTAAAGAATTAGAGGTATTGCGAAAATAATTATTAGAAATACTCTAGAAAGGGTGGATTTAACCCTTTATTAGCCCGGTAGGTACTTTTATTATTTTTATTCTAAAGAAGGGCAGAAAGTTGAAGTTTTATATTAATTTTAAGGTATTTAATAAAGTTACGAAGAAAAATTGGATAGTATTATTCTTTATTTAAAAAATTTTAGATTGGTTATTATTAGTAAAGGTCTTTATAAAATTAGATTTAAAGGATATATACTATAGAATTCGGATTTAGGAAGGAAATAAGGAGAAGATAGTATTTCGTACGAAGTATAGGTATTACGAATTTTTAATTATATTAATAAGGTTAGCGAATATATTAGTAATATTTTAAATATATATTAATAATATATTAGTAGGGTTACTAGATATAATATATATTATTTATTTTAATAATATTCTAATTTATAGTAAGAATAAAGACAATTATTGCAATTATATTAAAAAAGTCCTTTAATAGTTATAAGATTAGAACTTTTATATAAATTTGGGTAAGTATGAATTTTATACAAAGAGGGTATTATTCTTAGGTTATATTATTTCTCTAGAGGGCATTTCGATAGATTTAGAAAGGGTTGTAGCGATTATAAATTAGGAAGCCCCGTTGAACGTTTACGATATTTAAGTCTTTTTAGGGTTTATAGGATTCTATAAACGTTTTATAATATTATATTCTAAAGTAACTATACTTTTAATAAAACTATTAAAGGGGGAGAAATAGAAGGTATTTAAATTAACGGAGGAGGTAGAGAAAGCGTTTATAGAATTAAAGCGGCTATTTTAGGAAGTATTAATATTACGTTACTTTAATTTAACGTTATAAATTTAAGTGGAAATAAATACGTTAAACTTTACAATTAGAGTAATTTTTATATAATTATATAGTAATAAATAGTACCCGGTAGCGTTCTTTTTGAAGAAGAAATCGTTAGAAGAAATAAGATATAGAATTAGAGATAGAGAATTATTAGCAATTCTAAGGGTATTAAAGGCGTAAAAGTAATATTTATTGTATATAAACGAGCCGTTTTTAGTAATTACGGACTATTTAAATTTATAGTACTTTTAGGAGAAGGAGTAGGTTAGCGCGAAATGGAATTAGTAAGTATTAGAATTAGCAGTATATAATTTTAGGATAAAATATTATCTAAGGAAATTAAATTTAGTAGATAGGTTATTAAGGAAATTATAATTATAGGGGGAAGAGTTAGAAAAGGGAGGTAAATACTTATTAATTAAAATTATTATTATGGAGGTAAAGAAAAGGGTTGAATTATAAAGGAAGGTTAAATATTAAAAACATTAATAAAATAAATAATTTTAATTAGGAAGGAAAGTTAGAAGGTAGCGGTAGAAGAATAGAAATAGCGGTAAAATATTAGCGAAGGAGAGGAGGATTAGGTATTAGAGAATAAAGAAAATAAATTATATAGGAAGTAGAAGAAATTGTAGGAGGAAAGTAAATTATATAGGGGGTAGAAGAAATAAATAAGGATAGAAGATAATATTAAAATAGGCGGAACGTTAAAGAAGAGAGTAAAATTTATAGGTAAGGTTATTATTAAATTAAGGGGGGAAATAAAGGGAATAATCATAGAAAATATAAGTGTGTATACAATAGTAATAAAAGTGTAGAAAGATAATAGGTATTTACTACTATTAGAGTAATAATTATTAAAGGTATAAATAGAGAATTTATTTATTATTAAAGAATTATAGAAGAATAGCGAAGGAAGGAGACGAATAAAGAATTAAAAAATAAGGGAAAATAGGATTTTTTAGTACCGGTATTAAATCTATATTCTAGAATATATACGGGCCGAATTATTCTATATTTACTATAATAATATAATAGCCGGGTACCTAAGTTAAAGGAAAATATTAAAGTATATTAATTAATTCTATTATTAGTTAACTATTATAATTAATATTAAAATATATATTTACGAATACCCGGCGTATTAGAAGGTTAAATTATATAATTACCGACTTTATAATTTATTAGAATTATTGCTTATTTTTACTATCCTTTAGTAAAATATTTTATATAATTTTATTATTAGATTATTAAAAGTATTCGACCTTATATTTAATTGGATTTGTAATACGGTTTTAATTATTATTAACCGTTTTATTAAATACATTTTATATATTCCTATTTAAAAGACGATCG